TGCGCTGCACTGTCCTGCTGATGCTGGATTACCAGGTAGCATAGTAGGGAAAAATTCCTCCCTGTAGGGGTGGGGAGGCCCTGGCACAGCTGCCCAGGGAAGCTGTGGCTGCCCCTGGATCCCTGGAAGTGCCCAACGCCAGGTTGGACAGGGCTTGGAGTACCCTGGGATAGTGGAAGGTGCCCCTGCCCATGGCAGGGGGTGGAATGAGATTTCTTTAACGTCCTTCCCAACCCAAAGCATTGCATGATTCCATGCTGGGTGCAGCAGTGTCGGGCATGCACCATTACCTGTGTCTCACCTCTCTTTGTTCAGCCTCCCCAGTTCAAACTGGATCCACGCCTGGCTCGGCTCCTGGGCATCCACACCCAGACCCGGCCCGTGATCATCCAGGCCCTGTGGCAGTACATCAAGACCCACAAGCTGCAGGACCCCCACGAGCGGGAGTTTGTCATCTGTGACAAGTACCTGCAGCAGGTGAGCAATGGCAGGGCAGGAACAGCAGCAGCTGGATCAGTGTCCAGCATGGGCAGCCGGGGGTGGCTGCAGCGAGCCCCTGCTCCTCCCTCAGCCCTGTCTCTGTCACAGATATTCGAGTCGCAGCGGATGAAGTTCTCCGAGATCCCACAAAGGCTTCATGCCTTGCTGATGCCCCCCGAACCGATCATCATCAATCATGTGATCAGGTGAGGCTGCTCCACGTGAGTTTCCAGGAGGGAGTGGGAGGCTGGGATGGATGAGGAAGACAATGTGGTATGTCCTGATTTTCAGCAGCAGTTCCCATGTTGCCTGTCACAGTTCCTTTGTACAAGAGCAGCCGCCTCTCTCATTACCACATCCCTCTTCCAAAGGCACTCCCACATCCTGCTGTGAATAGAAACCTTCTTGGAGCACTCATTTCTTTTGCTGCAAAGCTACTGGTGGGCTTTAGCTGCTTTTAGGGCTGAGGCTGACAGGGGCATGGCTTTTCCCTGTCCCTGCCTGCAGTCCATTAGCTGCAGCATCCCAGAGGAGTTGCATTTGCTGCTTTCTTGAACTGGTCCCAGTTTTTGCCTTCTTTCTGGAGCTACTCCCTGAATTTGGCTTCTTGTGGATGTCCCCAGTGTTGACCCAAATGACCAGAAGAAGACAGCCTGCTATGACATTGACGTGGAGGTGGATGATACCCTGAAAACTCAGATGAATTCCTTTCTGCTCTCCACAGCCAGTCAACAGGAAATTGCTGCTCTGGATAACAAGGTAGGAAAAGCTCCTTCAGGTCTGCTCTCCTTGTTGCTGGGCAGGGATGTGTCTCTGGACAAAGGATAGGAGTGCTCTGTTGATTGGAAGCTGCCGTGGGATGAGGCGTGTTTACAAATGTGGCTGTACCTGGAAATGTAATTTTTAAAGCAACCAGTGTATGGGAAAACTGGTAATATTTAGCGAGCAGGGAACTGGGAGCTGAACATCCAGTTTAAGGTAAGTATAAGTTAACTAGAGAGTGTAAGAATTTTCCTTCATTGTTGGATCCCTTGATGTTTCTGACTTCTCCCCTGTTCTGTGTTTGTGTCCTTCAGATCCATGAAACAATTGAGACCATCAACCAGCTGAAGACACAGCGTGAATTCATGCTGAGCTTTGCCCGAGATCCTCAGGGCTTCATCAACGACTGGCTCCAGTCCCAGTGCCGGGATTTGAAGGTAAAAGCTTTGTCTTGTCTGGAGGGTGGTCCAGTTCACACGCTTCCCTCATTAGAATGAGCTCCCACAGAGAGAAGGAGACAATTTCCTCCTCAGAAAGCGAGGCTGGGATTTGAGTCAAGCATAAGAAGCTGACCTGAGCGCACTGAGATGTCTGTGAGGAACACAGCACAGCACAGCCAGAGCTTTTGCACTCGCTGAGCTGTTGTGCCTTTGTGCTCCCAGACAATGACTGATGTCGTTGGGAATCCTGAGGAGGAGCGCAGGGCCGAGTTCTACTTCCAGCCGTGGGCGCAGGAAGCCGTGTGCCGATACTTCTACTCCAAGGTGAGTGTCCCCAGGCAGGGGTCCCTCTCCGAGCCTGTCACTCCTTGGGGCACACAGTGCTGGGGGAAGGTGGCAGTTGCATCTTGGTCCCAGTTGGAGCTCACCCTTTCCCAGCTGGCTCCTGTGTGTTAACTGGGTGCTCTAGTGCTGCACCACCCGAGGGTGTTAATGCTGCAACTCGGCTCCTCTTGCAGGTGCAGCAGAGACGGCAGGAACTGGAGCAGGCCCTGGGGATCCGGAACACATAGGCTGCTCTGCTCCTCCCCAGCAGAAGCATTACAGCTGTTTGTGGAGACAGAGCTGCAGAGCTCACTGTTCCAGCTCACCAAACCCCACTCTGGCAGCGAGGCCCACGTTATTCATCCTGGCATTGTCCCTGCAGGGGCAAGCCCAGGACACCTGGGGCAAGAAGACAGGCTCCAATGAGCACACATTTCTACCTGGTTTTCTTCCTGACTGTTGCCTTGTCAGTCCCAAGGCTTCCACGAGCATCCCCGTGACTCTGCACTGTCCGTAGTGTCCCCGGTAGCCAGAGTGACTCAGAGCCTTCTCTCAGCCCATTCCTCCCCAGCCAGCATCTGGCTGGGCACTCAGAGCTGGCTCTGAAGCCTGGCTCTGCTTTAAGGTGTGGCTGGGCTCTTCCTTGCCACGTTTTACAGCCCGTGCCAGGCGCTGTCGTGGGCAGGATGCCATGAGCTGACATACCTCCCTGCCTTCACCCCCTCCTCAGAGGGTGCTGCTGTACTGGGCTGCCTCATAGGTCACTCTCCTCCTTGAGGAAGTTACTGAACTGTGTAGAGAATTGCTTCTTCCCTTCTCCCTTCTCCCCTGCCACATTCCCTTCGTGTTCCGTGATGGACTGTCCTAGGCTGGGATCACAGGGAGACAAGGCCTTGGCTTCCTGCAGGGATGTGGAAGCGTTGGAGTGATGCAGCGCTCTGCACTTCAAGCACCTACAACTGGGTTCCAGCCAGCCACGTGGCTGTTTGTTTTCCCTGGAGCAGGGAGAGGAGATGGAGCAGCTGCCTGGAATTCTGTAGGGACAGTGTTGTAGGCTCATTCCTGCAGGACAGTTGTCCTGTGTCACTGGGGACCAGAGGCTCCTTCGTGTGGGTCCAAGGGTCCAAGGACAGGACAGTCCTTGGAAATGGACATTTTTCCAAGCATATGTGAGTTAGCAGGTGTTTCCATGCTGAAGCTCCTGTGGTTTTTAGTCAAGTTTTAGGCTGTGGAGCTGCCATAGGGCCCAGCATGGTTCAGGAATGTACAAATAGGATTTCTCCACTGTGAGGAGTAGCAGCCCCGATGCCTCCTCCTGGAATGAGGTACTGGTGGTCAGGCTTAGGAGAATGAAATAGCTCCTCTTCACTCCAATCCCAGTGTTTGTGCTCGGGACTATAATGCAAATGGACTCAAAAATTGGTCTGACTCTTGGATTAGCTGCAGGATCATGTTACTGATGAGCACTCACCCAGTTCAGTGTGGCTGGGGAGGCTGCTGTGAGTTGGAGCACCTGGGTGGCCGTACTACTCCTTGTGTCTGTGTTACTACATGTCTGTGAGTAATAGACTCTCGACTCCCCCTCTCCTTTGCCCTTCTGAAATGCTCCTCTGGTGGTACTGGGATGAAGGTCTTGGTGCTGGAGAAGCAGCCCCTGACTCCTCAGGGTACTCCCACAGGAGGGATGCTGAGTCCTACATAGGCAAACGTAGCTGTTGCAGAGTAACTGCTTTTCTTAACTGAATATTACGGTTTTTTTCCATGGACCAAATTTTTTTTTTTGTACTGTATCCTTGTAGACGTCACCCAGTTTTAATAAAAGACTCCTCTGAAGGAAGCTGTCCTCCTCCTTCCATGCTGACAGCTTGCACTCTCCCAGCTGCCATGGGGGATGAGCCTGGTGACTCCCAAGGAAGGGACACGATTATCTCTGCTTTCTTCTTTTCAAAGCCAACAGGGTTAAGTGACTGAAGAGAAAATGTTCTTCATATTTTGGCCTTTTATAGTGAGCCCTTCATGGTGGGATCTCCCAGCCTGCAGACTCTGCTAAGCCTTTGCAAAGTGCTTTGTGGTAAACAAAGTAACCTGAGCAAAACTGGAAATCCAGTGGCCAATGCTAATAAATCCTGAACTGCCTCGTGTCCACTTGGCTGGATTGTGGCAGCCTGTTGGACATCCCAAGGGAGTAGGGCAGAATTTGAAGGAAACCACTACAGTTTACACACAAGGGTTTAAAATTACGCAGAAGGGTTTTTATTCTCTTCACCCTGCTTGTTTATAAAATGTAACTGCTTTGCTGCTGACCTGGGAGCCCTTGGGGCAAGGGAAAGATCCTCTGTGTGAAGGGAAAAGTGCTGCTGGCTGTGGTTAGGGTAGGAGCTGAGCCCTGGGGCTGCACCAGGCAGTTCCTGCTCCTTCGCTGGGGGGGAAAATGACACTTTTTAGCAAGAGGGGGACACTAAAATGCTTTTCTACAGGATGGCTCAATAGTCATGAGTCAGCTTGGTGAGTGCTCTGCCAAGGGGTCTGCAGCTTCCTCACTGTGGGCAGCAGAGGGGCAGCTCTGATCCCTGCTCTCTGGGACAGTGTCAGGACCCCAGGGAACGGCTGGAGCTGTGTCACGGGGGTGGGATGGATATTAGGAAAAGGGTATTTCCCCCAGAGGGTGCCCAAGCACTGAACAGGCTCCCCAGGCAATGGTTACAACCCTGACCCTGCCAGAGCTCAAGGGGCGTTTGGGATGGTTGTGGTGTCCTGTTCAGGGCCAGGGCTTGGACTCACCAATCCTTGTGGGTCCCTTCCAGCTTAGGGGATTCCGTGACTCCTGGTTCTGGGGAATCTGAGCTGCTCCAGGGCAGCGCTTTGCACCTGCCGCGCACGGAGCGGTGCCCGGTGCCCCCGGGGCGAGGCGGGGCCGGGGGCGGGCCGGGGCCGCCCCTGCTCCGGGCAGCCTTGAAATAGCAGAGGCGGGTTCCGAGCCCGCAGTGCCCCGCTCTCGGCACCATGGGTGGCAAGAAAGTGTGCATCGTGGGCTCTGGCAACTGGTGAGCGCCGGGCACCCGGGTCCCCTCGGCGAGCACAGCGCGGTCCCCGTCCTCCCCCGGTGCCAGCCGTCCCCATCCCTGCGGGTCACAGCGTGACCTGCGGTGCCCTGGGCTCCCCAGTGCCCACAACCACGGCCTCCCTCTGCCCTCGCAGGGGCTCGGCCATCGCCAAGATCGCCGGCAGCAACACAGCTCGGCTGAGCAGCTTCGAGAGCCAGGTGAACATGTGGGTGCTGGAGGAGGAGGTGGGCGGCCGGCGGCTCACGGACATCATCAACACGGAGCACGAGAATGTCAAGTACCTGCCGGGGCACAAGCTGCCCCCCAACGTGGTGAGTGTGTGCCAGCAGTCTCTCCGAGGGGCAGAGCTGCTTGCCAGGCTTTGGGGAGAGGCCAGCAGCTCTGGGGGCTGTGGAACCCCGGGATGTGAAGGCAGGGGATGCACCGGGCTGTGCGGGGCTCAGTCATGCCCTCCCACTGACCTTCATCTGTGCTTGGATGAGCTGCAGCCCTGGCTGCTCTCACTGCCCACCTTTGACCCTGCTCTGGCATCCCTCAGGCTGGGCTGGAGGCCATGTGGCTGCCTCTGGGCTGGCATCATCCCACCCTGCTCCAGCCCCTCTGCTGGCAGGGACCTCGGCATGGTGACTCTGGGCCCTTCCTTCCCATCCATCTTCCCAGTTCCTAACAACACTCACACTCTATTCAGGTGGCAGAGCCAGACCTGCTCAAAGCCTGTGCAGGGGCTGATGTCCTCCTGTTCGTGGTGCCTCACCAGTTCATCGGCAAAGTCTGTGACCAGCTCAAGGGCCACGTGAAGAAAGAGGCCATTGGGATGTCACTCATCAAGGTGTGAGCTGGAGCAGCACTTGCCAGGGTGCCAAGGCAGGGGAGCTGAGAGCAGCCTGGCTTGGAGAGGCTGCTAAGGGAATCCAGGGACTTTGGAGCAGAAATGGGCAGTGGGGGGAAGAAGGGAAGTGGGAACAGAGTCTTTGTGGGGATTTTGAGGTGTTGGTGGAGAAGGGTGAGTGCATATGGGAGATCTCAGGTGCTGAGAGGAGCAGGGCACAGCTCTGCATGTCAGAATCAGTTGGAGCACTGCAGCACAGGGAATGGCAGGACTGGGGTGGAGGGCAGGTGTCCAGGAGGGGCAGATGCTCATTGTCTGGCTGGCAAGGTGGTGTTCAGTCAAAGGTTGGACTCAGTGTCCTTAGAGATCTTTTCCAGTGTAATTGATTCTGTGATGTCTGTCCCTGGCTGTCCCCCAGGGCGTGGATGAAGGACCAGATGGGCTGAGGCTGATCTCAGACATCATCCATGAGAAACTGGGAATAGAAATGAACGTGCTCATGGGGGCCAATATTGCCAGTGAAGTGGCAGAAGAGAAGTTCTGTGAAACCACCATCGGTAAGGAGCCAACAGCCCTCCTCGTTAGCAGCTTTCATTTGTGATTAGCAGGAAGAGGCAAAGGGTGGAGTATGGTTCACCTCAAACTCCTGCTGCCTTGGGTGAACTGGCCCTGTTCCCTGGGAAGACAGGAGACTCCATAGGAGTTGGCTGAGCTCATTCCCAGGGCTTGTGATGGGATCACTCGCTTCATTAACAACAGAGTTGTGCTAAAAGTTCCTGCCAGCATGGAGCCAGCATCAGGCAGCTGCCTGGCAAAAATTAAAGGGGTGGGCAACAAGAGGCCCTTTAGGAATAATTTCCATCCTTGATTTCCTTGGGCTTCACAGGATGCCCACCTGGATCTCATGTTATTGCCAGCCAGGGCTGCTTGGAAGTTCATCTGGTGACAGTTCCAACATCCTCCACACTGTTGGGGGCTGTGCACAGAGCCAAAACAAACAGAACCGTTTGCTGGGTCAGAAGTTGTGGCATTCAAAGTGTCTGTTTTATTAAACAACAGCAAACACACTGGGCAGGAGGCTGGAGAGGTGGAGCAGAGCCCACAACCCCTGCAAGCACAAAGGACCCTGCAGGGACAACCAAGACAGAAAACTGCAACCCCAAATTTGCAACCTTTGAAGATGCCTTTAACCTACTGAGCATTCAGAAAGTATTTTCTGTCTTGCTTGACACAGCAGCATGGATTGCCCCTTCTTCTGGGAATGTCAAAACTGAACATTGCTTATCTGTCAGGCAGTGTGTGCCTGACTCTGTGTGGACCTACAAATGTTTTGCAACATTGGTTGTGCAATAGGTTCCTCTCACTGGATGACCTTCAGGAGAGCATGGACCTACCTCGTGGCTCTTCCCCATCATCTTCTTCTTCATCACTTTGTCTCCTCAGGCTGCAAGAACATGAAGCATGGGCAGATGCTGAAGGACCTGATGCAGACCCCCAACTTCCGTGTGTCGGTGGTGCAGGAAGCTGACACTGTAGAGATCTGTGGGGCTCTCAAGGTGGGTGTGCAGGGCTTGGTGAGCAGAGCCTGGTGCTCTGCAGGGAGCTCGGGGAGGAGAGGTGATGGGCACTGGCACAGCCGGCACTTGGGATGACACAGGCTGCTCACGGATGCAGCCAAGCCCCGAGTTCCATTGAGAAGAGATCCCTCCATGTTGCTATTGTTTTCCAGAATGTGGTGGCTGTAGGAGCTGGTTTCTGTGATGGGCTTGGCTACGGTGACAACACAAAGGCTGCCGTGATCCGCCTGGGCCTGATGGAGATGATTGGCTTTGCCAAACTCTTCTGTAAGGGTCCCGTCACCTCCTCCACCTTCCTGGAGAGCTGTGGTGTTGCTGACCTCATCACCACCTGCTATGGGGGTCGCAACCGCAAGGTCGCCGAGGCTTTTGCCAAGACTGGGAAGGTGAGCAGAGCTGGAAGTGGCTGATCAGTGTGTGGATAAAGCTGGGTCAGGGGAAGTTCAGGTGGGATATCAGCAAAAAGTTCTTCACCCAGAGGGTGGTCGGGCACTGAACAGGCTCCCCAAGGCTGCCAGCGCTCAAGGAGTGTTTGGATGACACTCTCAGGCACAGGGTGGAATTGTTGAGGTGTCTGTGTGGGGCCAGGAGTTCTACAGGATGATTCTTGTGGGTCCCTTCCAACTCAGGAATTCCATGATTCTATGATTCCTGCATCAACCTGGTGAGCAGGCAGGGACGTGATCCCCCTTAGCACTGTGGGATCTGTCTGTGCTTGGCTAGTGCTGCAGCCCAGCTCCAGCCCAGGAACGTGGTGCAGCAGCAGAGCTGCAGATCCAGCTTCTCACTGCTGGGTTGTTTCAGTCCATCGAGCAGCTGGAGAAGGAGATGCTGAATGGGCAGAAGCTGCAGGGTCCCCAGACATCTGCTGAGCTGCATCGAATCCTCAAGAGCAAGAATGCAGTGGAGAAGTGAGTGCTGGAATCTCTGCACTTCGTTGGGGTGGAGCTGGGACGTTTTCAGGAGCAGCAGGAGGTGAAAGCCCCCACCAGCTGGGCAGGAGTGGCCTGTTGGATGGGGCACAGTGCCATTGGCCCATCTGCTCCTGCATGCCAGGACAGAAGTCGAGGTGCTCTGACTCTGCCATCTGTGGTGACTTTCTTTGTCTGCTCACAGGTTCCCCCTCTTCACTGCTGTGTATCGGGTCTGCTACGAGGGAAAACCTGTCACTGACTTCATCACGTGTCTCCAGAACCACCCTGAGCACATGTAAGGGGCTCTGCCTGCCGACCACAGATCCTGCTGAGATGTGCTGAGAGCTCCTGCCCACACCAACCTGACCTGCTGCCACAGCCTTGGAAGGAGTCCAGGCCTCCGGGGAGTCTTTGTAAACTGCTGGAAGAGCAGAGGTTCCCTTCCCCAGCCCCAGACACTGCCCTGGACACTGAGCCTGGCACAGAGGTACCTGCTGACCTCTTCCTCTCTTGGAAGAACTCGTTTAATTGCTGCTGCTAAGGTTTGCCCTCAGCAGGGCTGAGAATCTTCCTCCTTCCACTTCCTCACAGTGGATTCAGCTCTCGGAAGGATTCTGCCAGGCCATCATGATAGATAAGGGCTGGGCACTGTCTGGCAGGGAAAACAGTGTCCCAGGTCCTCCCTCTTAGCCCCATGGGGCCACTCTGGGTGACAACAGCCTTTCCCTACCTGCTGCTGCTTTTGCATTCCCTGTCTGGTGGAGAGGGCACAGTCCCCTGCCAGGCTCCACCTGGTGAGTGCAGCTCTCAGGACTTCCAAAGGCACTGAGGATCTTTTCTAAGCAGCACCAGCACAGACAATGGCATTCCTTGCCACCCAGCTACGTGCTGCTTTCCCCCAGCTGCTCCTGCTGACCCAGGGACACTCTGGAGCTTGTTTATTTAGAGCTTTTGCTCTCGCCATCAGACCTGGCCCCAGCCCTGGGGAGCTCCCCTGTTGTCACAGGTTTGCCTGTGCTAATTCCATGCCCGCTGACTTCTCTCCCTGTCTCAGTTTGACCTCTGGGGCTTGGCACTGCCAGGGACCAACTGCCCCTGAGTCTGTGTGAGCAGCTGGTGTGATCCCTGCCTTGTACCTGCACAGCAGGCAGGTGGGTCACCACAAGGCACCTGAGTCACATTGCTGTTAAGTAATTCCTCCACAGCCACACTTTTCCTTCCTCTGGCTCACTTCAGCCTCTGCTTTAGACTGCTCTGTGCCTCCATGTGTGGCTGTCCGGGAGCTGAGGAAGGAGGTCTGCTTTCCTTCATGTGGGGATGCTGCAAACTGCCCTCTGGCACAGGGGCAGGAACAGGCATATGATCCACAAGAGGTACATGGAGGTGTCCAGCATCCCAGGACACAACAGAGGTCTTGGGCCTCACACGGAGCCTTTGAAATTTGCCCCTTGTCCGGACAGGTGCCGCATGTCCCTCTGCTCCTCTGAAGCTGGTGGTGTTTGCTCAGGCCAGAGTGTCCAGTGGTCACTAATCCTGCCTGGCCTGGAAGGCTGGAGCGCTGCAAGGCTCCCTGTTCTCCCCCATTCAAGTCCCAGAGCCAAGGGGTCTCTGACTAGCAGTGTTCCTTTGAAATAATAATAAACATGGAGAGGAGATAGGAGATGCTCTCCTTGTTCTGTGGCTCCAGTGCATCACTGTTGCTGGGCTGGTGCCTGCTGGACTTGCTGAGTGCTCAGAACAGGGCACTGCCCGTTCCCTCCTGGCTCTGCACCCCCCTGTGCTGTCCCAGAAACAACAAGAACCTCCCTGTAGGTCCCTGTTTAGCCCCAACGTCACACAGTGTCCCACTTGCTTTGTCTCAGCAACGGTTCCAGGATTAAAATTTGGCCGTAGGACTGTGGCGGGTTGGGATTGCAACATTGAGCTGGGTACAGAGTCCTCACCTGGGGCCAGCAGGAGCCAGGCCAGGACCACACTGTGCCCCACACATCCCAGGCCTCCCCTCCTCTGACGTCTGGAGCTTCCCAGGACACACTCTGGGATTTTATTCATCTCTTCCCAGCTGCTTTTCCCAGACTTGCCTTGTTCCTGTGTGTCTTTAAAGGAGCCCCGTACTGAGTGACCTTTCCAGGGCTCTGAAGCCTCTGCTCAGTGTCTTACAAGGGGAATTTAATCTGCTGGCACTGCACTTGTTTCTGTGCCTTTTATTAGCCACGTTTTCTCAGCAGGCACTCCGCGACCTTTAAATTCAGCAGAACTGTCGTGTGGGGGGAGCCAACAGGGCTTCCTCTGCCGAGGAGCTTTATTGAGCTTGGAGGAAGGATAAAGGAAGTCCAGTGTGTTCCTGCAGGGCTGGCACGACTTCTAGTTCTCTTTGTCTTCAAGGGCTTCAAGGAATCCAAGTGTTTGGATACGAAGCTCATGCAGGAGAGAGGTCCCTGAGCTCTGCTCCCTCACACAAACTCCTGTCAGCACCTGCCTAGAGAATCCAGCAGGGATTTGTGTTTAGCTGGGAGCTCCTCTGCGATGGAAATGCTTTGTGCATTCCCTTTGTCCATGTTTCTTTGACCCTGGAAACCCCTGAATCGCTGCAGACCCTTGCTGAGGGTCCCAGGTCTCCAGTGATCTCTCTCTTTTAAACACACCACACTGCAGCTGGATGTCCCGAGCTATAAAAAGTCTTCCCTTTGCCATTTGGAATTATGTTCTGCAGGCTCAGCAGATCCCACTGCCGCAGCCCTGGGAGCTGCTGCTGGGGGGAAAGAAGGATGAGGAGGGGATAAAGAGTGACCCTGGCTGCTGCGGAGCTCGAGGGAGCCCCGGATCGAGCAGGGCTGGCACAGCAGAGTTCAAATGCTGCAATGGAGCTCCGTGAGGGGAGCAGCTGCCACAGGGGAGGACAGGAGGGGCTGGGGGAACGTGGCCTGTTGGGAAGGAGGCTCTGGGCTGACACCAGGGCCCTTGGGAGGGCACAGGGACCCTCAAGAAAGCGCCGGGACCCTCGGGGAGGCACTGGGACCCTCAGGATGGCAGCAGAACCCTCGTGAAGCCACCGTGACCATCGGGATGGCACCGCGCCTCCGAACCTCAGGGCTGCAGCAGCACCCGGAAAGCCTCGGCCCCATCCACGCGTGGCCAAGGACTGTCCCCTGCGGGCTCCCGGCACCTCAGGCAGGGAGCCTGGCGGGTTGCGCGGTGCAGGGGGCTCCGTGTGGGCAGCGCCGGGGCCCGAGGCGGCGGGAGCGGCCCCTGAGGGGAGACTGCGGCGGGGCCGCCGCCAGGGGGCGCTGCGGGCACCGCGCGCGCCGCCGGCCACACGTGACCGCGGCACACGTGACGGAGAGAGGCACGTGACAGCGCCGCGCCACGTGACGCGGGCCGGGAGAGCGGCGGAGCGGGACGGGAACGGTGAGTGCGGAGAGAGCGGGATGGGAACGGGATGGGAACGGGATGGGAACGGTGAGTGGGGAGAGAGCGGGATGGGAACGGGATGGGAACGGTGAGTGCGGAGAGAGCGGGGTGGGAACGGGATGGGAATGGTGAGTGCGGAGAGAGCGGGGTGGGAACGGGATGGGAACGGGATGGGAACGGTGAGTGCGGAGAGAGCGGGATGGGAACGGGATGGGAACGGGGAGTCCGGAGAGAGCGGGGTGGGAACGGGATGGGAACGGGATGGGAACGGGATGGGAACGGGGAGTGCGGAGAGAGCGGGATGGGAACGGGATGGGAACGGGATGGGAACGGGGAGTGCGGAGCGGGATGGGAACGGGGAGTCCGGAGAGAGCGGGATGGGAACG